GAAAATCTCCTGTAGAGTTACTCAGTCGACAGAGAGATGGCATTGAATGAGCTTGTTGTCTGTAAAAGCGTCGCATTTAAAAATAATCTTGTGAATATTTCGCCAAAAGCAGAGCACTACTTTGCAATGTCAGTCCCAGGCCACCGAAGTTCCGATTTGGCTGCTTGTGACGCGTGGCTTTATCCCAAATCTAAAATCGCTGTGAATGACATGAAGGAGAACGCAACAAAGCAGCTGATGGCGATTCTCAAAAATTGGACACTAATGGTTATTTTTGAAAAGTGGAAGGGTCACTGAGTTAATATGGTTTGATTTGGTTTGGTTTATTTTGTTTTAAGGCATATCAACCTCAATAGGTTGTTTAATGCCCACAAAATTTTTATTGCTAGTAATATTTTCTTTCCAAAAATGTATTGTTGGTAATATTTTTTTTCAAAAAATGTATTGCTGGTAATATGTTTTTCTTCAAAAATCTATTTCTGGGAATATTTTTTTTTCTCCAAAAATCTATTTATGGGAATACTTTTTCTTCAAAATAATTTCAAAATAATAAACTTTTTCTTCTGGTAATATTTTTTTTCAAAATTTTTTTTTTTTTTTGTTTTTTTAAAGTATAGCTGATAAAAATTTTTCCTTCAAAAATTATAGCTGGTAATAATTTATTTTTACAAAGTATTTCTGGTATTAAAAAACTGTTTTTACACTTTCTTAGCATTTTGACACATGTTTGGGTGTTAACTATTTGCCCATAGCTGGGACCCTAACAGGTGCTACCAACCCGGGTCAGGGTGGATCTGGGAACACCAGCAATTAAGAGGTGGTTCCACACTCCGCAAAACCTCCTGATCAGAGGCCTTGCTGTTGGACGTAGTTTATCGTCATACCCAGGACGGGACTGTAGTATTGGCTGTTCAGTCAATGAATACCTTATAATTATTTTCTAAGCGTAGTTTAGATGTGGCACAAGGCCGAAAATATGGGGCACCTAGTGAGGATCGAACTAACTTTTCAGTTGTAACTGATCTAGCGAGACAAGCTTGCTAATCATTACACCACGCCGAGATGCCCAAATGAATACCTTATCAATGTCAGGCATTTCTCAATGAAAAGGACTAGAATGGCTAAAAGTTACCCCCGCTTCAGACTTTGATTTGAAATGCTATGTAGATTTGTAAATTTTTCTTTTCAAATCGGAAATAGGAAGAATGAACGTCCAGTCATGATCAGATGATTTCAGGATATATTTCATTTTAAAACAATGTAAAAATACAAACATTAATGTTATTTGTATACAAGATTTACTTCAACTTAGTTGACTCTGGGATACTTCTATTGGACTTTTAACGAAAGCAACAACTAAAATGGAAATGACGCTTAGAATTTTAAATTTAAAAATTGATTTTTTTTTGTTTATGTTTCCATAACGTTTGTTATTAAATATCCTATGATAATAGAAGATCTGCCAAGAATGAGGAAAAACATTGTAAAAACTTGGTCGCAAATTTAAAATGCATATTAAAAAATATTTTAAAATTTAAAATTGTCAGCCTTTTTTGTTTGTGCGCATGCGTTGTCCCTTCAAAGTAAACATAAACTTAGCCCGATGAAATCCGAAAGGACGAAACACGTCACACGAAAACCTTTTCCAATTTGTCATACTTCTTTCCCCTAAAATTGTTCTTGATATATATATATATATATAATTTCGTTATCCCATATTCCTATATATTGCTTAGAATTATCTCACTTGTGCTAGCAACATTAGATAGTAGTACTTTTGTAATGGTAACAACAGTCATACCGGGATTCATTATTGATTGCCACATTCTAGATAGTAAAGGAAAGCAAGAAAGAAAGACTGACCATCAATTGTAATAAGACAGAATATATGGTTTTCAGCAAAAGAAACAGTCCAAGATGCGAACTAGGAATTAGGGACAGCAAAACCAAGCAATTATAAAAATAATTTCTTGGAATTGTTTTAACAGAGGACGGAAAATGCGGTACCGAAATCCGAAAGAGCATTAGGAGAGCAAATGATGCATTATAAAAGCTATGCAAAGTATTAAGAAACAGGAAAATTTCGTGAAAAACGAAGAAAAAAGCATTAGACTGTTATTTAATATCGGTTCTCCTAAGTGGCAGTGAATGCTGGACAACAGAGTCTCACAGATGTAATGAAATAATGGGAATGTGGTTCTATACAAGGCTGCTGAGAATCCCATAGCCTGAACGTGTGAGCAACGAGGAAATTTTAAGGAAAATGGTAACAAAAAGGCCCCTTATACTTAGAATAAAAAAGAATTGAATTTTCTTGGGCACAGAATGAAGAACCATGTCTTGGAGAATTTGAAACTCACAGAACATATTCAAGGCAAGAGAGACAGATGAAAACGATGAATAACATAACTAAGGAGATTGTATAAATGGTTGCAGAACAAGTATGAGGATAGATAACAAAAATACATGCCTTACCATGAGTTACAAAGGACAGGAATAGGTGGAGAATCATGAACGCTCACGTCCTGAAGGGACACGGCGAATAGAAGAAGAAGCGGACTTAAGAAATTTACTTTTTATTATTTAGGTTTTAATCGGAGAACTTACGATGTTGTTTGCGAAAATTTTCTACAAATCTTTTTCTTTCATGTTGAATATATTAAATTACCGTATTTATCGACAGATAAGACCCACGGGTGTATAAGACACACCCCAATTTCAGAAGGGCAAATCAAGAAAAAATTAGTAATTAGTAAAATTATTAGTAAATGGTACAGCTTAGGTTATATTTATGAGGTATTATTTTGGTTAAACAAACCATGATTACAATTAAACGAAAAATAATAGGAAAAAGAGAACACGGGCCTATAAAAACTTTATTATATCCTTTATATGATTTGTACAACCTGCGTTTTATAAACGTCTTACTGGAATAGTTAGGATATAAAAATTCTGATTGTATTTATACTATTGCAATCGGAAGTTATCGTAAATATATATTAATGAAACAAATATATTTTACAAATATATAATTTGAATTTATTGCATATAATTTTAGTGAAACAAAATACTAATATCAAACGTGATGAAATCAATGATAATACTTTTAATCTGCGTAATAGCCTTTTAAATAATGAAAATAGGTACATGAAAGTTACTCTAAGGTCTAAGCTAATAGGAGTTGCCAGGTAGCTAATTTTGGCCGACTATCGCGAATTTTAAACTTACATATGGCATATAAGACGCAGAGGAATTTTAAAAGATATTTTTAGTAAAAAAAGTGCGCCTTATATGCCATCAAATACGGTAACCAGTAGGACTTTAACTTAATTAAAACTTAGTCTTAACCTGCCCGAGAAGTTTAATCGTAATGCCAATCGAGGTAGCGAAGAGACATACTTCCAAATAATCCACGGAGTTGTCCTATCGTTTTTATCATCCTCGATAGTAGTGAATGCTGGACAATTTCCTCATAGATGAAGAAGAGAAGGGGCAAGGGAAAGACAGAATAGAAATAAAAAAGGAGAAAAAAGAAGAAGAAAGAGACAGAATGTTAAGAGATAAAAGAGGATAGAAACGAAAGAAAGAGAGAACGAGGAAATAGAAAAAAAATTAAGGATGACGAACAGAAACAGAGAATAAAGAGGGATAAAAAAAGAGGATAGAAAAATTAGGGAGAGATAAAATGAATATAAAAGGAGAGAAAAACGGAAAGAAAAAAGGTAAGGAGGATAGGGTAGAGGATGGAATCATAGAGAGAGAGAGAGAGAGAGAGAGAGAGAGAGAGATAGAGAGAGAGATAGAGAGATAGAATAGAAATCTAAAAGAAAAAACAAACAAAAGTAATATAATCTAAATCAGAGGTTCTTGTAATTAATCACATACAATGTATTTCTTTTGCGTGAACCTCTCTTTATCTTTTTTATGCAAAAGTTTCCAGCATTGTTCTGGTGAAGTATTTTATTCATGTAGATTAATAGATTTCTATGATCTAGCGTCATCTTTTAACTAAATTGTTTAGTCAGTCACAGAAGAATTATTCCGGTTTTGTTTTGATTAAGTTCCTTCTGATACATATAATGATCAAGGCGGGCTTGGAGAATTTAATACTCACGTGACATATAAAAGGGTATGAATGTCATAGGAGAACAGCTAGTAACCTACCTAACAAGTTTATCTAAATGACAGAATGGTGACTGGAGTGACGGTAAAGGAATAAACGTTCTTTTGAGTTACGAAGAATAGGAAGTTGTGAAGAGTCATGATTGCTTTCGTGCTGAAGGAACAGGGTGCATAACAGAAAATTCCGTTTACTTTCTTCATCTTTTTATCCTAATATTCTCCAAATCTTCTTGACACGGACTCGTTGCCGATTAATTTTAGCATCGACGCCTGTAATTAATCCAACTTGTAGATACCTCATCTCTCCCTGCGCTGTTTATTCCTATCGACCATGGCCTCCAGGAATAGTGTCCATTGCGCTCTCTTGAGGGTTGTGGTCACTCCAGTACACATCTCCTGCTGGTTTGAACCACTAGTTCTATCCTGTTCAAAGTTACACATATCAACTCAGTGAGATAAAGTGGGTGCTAAGCGACGATAGATCTCTGAAGTGACCCTAATTGAGATCAGTGATAACCAATCCATCATGATCACCAGAAATTAGCAGCAACGGGTCGGCTAAATTAGTCATTATCTTTCTTTAATCTAAAATTACGACAAAACGAGATATATGCAGTGGGTGTTGGATAATTGTATAAAAACACCTGCGATTAGTGTGCCACCGATGGCGAGCAGAGATTAAACATAACAAAACTTTGGACATTAAAATAAAACAATTTATCGCCCTTTTATCTCACTTTTTTTTTTCTTCTTCTTCTTCTTCTTCTTCTCTTCTCTCTTCTCTTCTCTCTTTTCTATCTCTTTCCATTATCCTTTTATTCTTTTATTATCCCGCTTTTTTTTTTTTTCTTTAATTTCTCTCTCCTCTCTCTCCAATAATGTTTCTATTCTCTCTCTTATTCTCTTGCTCAGTTTCGTTTCGTTTCTTCTCTTTTTTTAAATTTCTATTCCTTATCCCCTCCCTTAATGTTTCTATTTTCTCTCTTATTCCCCTTCTCGGTTTCTTTTCTTGTCTTTTTATTCTCTCTCCCGCTTTTAATATTTCTATCTTCTTCCTTACTCTCCTTTTCAGTTTCTTTCCGTTCTTCTCACCTTTATCTGTTCCTATTCCTTCTATCCCTTCCTTTAATGTTTCCATCATTGAATAAAATTAAAGAAAAAAAACAGCTGAAGACTAAAAACGGGACCAATTCATGATGGAAATACGAAGCAACGCCCTGGTATATGGTTAGTATTAACGAAAATCGAGAAAAGAGAGAAACTTTCTGCTGAAATTAGGTAAACATTTATTTTACATTTTTACTGAACTGTTATTTGATATCGGTAGCGATTACTGAGCAATCTCTTCAAAGATGAAGAGGAGGCTTGAAGCAACTGAAATGTGGTTCCACGGAAGATGCGGAGGACACAATGGACCGAATATGTAAGCAATGACAACGTTTTAGAGAAAATGGAAACAAAAAGGCCAGTTATACTTAACATCAAAAATAGACAGTTGAATTTTCTTGGTCACATAAAGCGGGCTTGGAAAAGTTGACACTCGTAGGACAGATATAAGCAAGAGGGACAGAGAATTAACCCACCTAATGAGCAAATGTAAATGGATTGCAGAACAAGGTTAAATAGTAAAAAAAAAAAAAAAATTAAGTGCTGCAAAGGACAGGGAATTGTGGAGAGCCATGGTTGCCAACGTCCTTCCGTTCCAATAAGTATCTGGCACAACTTGCTTTACTTTTTACTTTACAAGAGCCAGATCAGGCTAAAAATGGATTATTGCTGCATTATCTGGGTTGGAGCTGCCAATTTCTCACTTACCTTTCTTAAGAATGGATGATGAATTATTTTCTACCCTACAATCACTTTCCCACGGACGATACTTCACAATCCTCTCGCTACTCTATCGCTATTTCCATGGCAAGTGTTCTGATGAACGACATTCCTTGGCTTCGCCAGCCCGGACTTTTGCTGGTTAGACCAGCTATACCAAGTACACAAGAACGAATCATCCTCATTTCCATCATATTCCATTTTAAGAAGGAAGTTCAACTCGGAGAGCTTTTTCCTAAGAACTGCTGATTTATGGAACAGACTCATAGCAGGATATTTTCCTGGTCATTACAATCTTGACCTCTTCATGTCTAGAGTTAACCGTTATCATTTCTCCATAACCCCATGAACTGCACTTCGTACCTTTTATTATGCTCATACAACATTGCAAAATAACGCCCTAACTTGATGGCCCATGGGCCTTGCATTGGATGAAAATGAGTTCTTAAGTTAATATTAATTTATATAAAAATAATAGAGGAGATTAAAAGATAAAAAATAGATCGGTGGGAGACGGAGTAACAAAATATAACTAATGGAGTAAATGGTAATGTTGGCAATATCCGTTTCGTTATACGTAAAACATTCAGTATTCATTTTCATAGAAAATAGATTCCACAAATCAACTGTTATCACTCATTCTGCTGACAATTTAAACATTTCTGAACGCGTTGATCGCCATACAGGCTATTTAAAAACATGAATCGAGTTCCGCACTTTGCTGGACAAATAGACTCCATCGTAGGCAATTCTACGTTCAATTACCATATCTCCTATACTAAACTTATTATAACTGATCCACACTCTGAGGTATATGAAGTCTTTAGAATGTATTAATTCAACATTATGACTTATGCTGAATTCAAGTTTCGTACATCACTGTTTTCATTCCAAATTCAGATTATAGTTTCTGTTTTGGAAAAGATTATCTTGAACATTTGGGATAGAAAGCTGATTTTTGCTCAAGATCATTCTTAATCAAACTATGAGTTCCTCTATCATCGGTGTAGCGACTCCATCATGCTCTGTAAATTGGCCTCGGGAGGTGCAGCAGGAACACTGTTTTCTTTTAGTAGATTTGTTTGGGATGTGATATGGAACGCGTGTGTTTTTGTGTGTGTGTATATAAAGTATTCACCAAATGAAAACAAACGGTGATATTAAAGAAAAACTAACGAAACGTACAATATATATATATATATATATATATATATATATATATATATATATATATAATATGCATGTATATATATGTGTATGCTGATTCCTTTTATAAGACAGTATGTATATATGGCAAGGGAATGTACATACACATGTGCAGGTTAACGGGGACATGCACGCAAGCACAGTACACAAAAGTTGAATTAGATTTGACAGTCTCAAGGGCAATGTAGGAATAGGAAAACATCACTCATCAACACATCTATCATCACCACCTCCCTGACCAAATCTAATGGTTTTATTAGCACTTAGGCATAAATTCACTTTTGCCAACAGTCCAAAAATTAGATCAAGGATCACTACAAATACAGAAAACGAACACTGAAACATTAAAAGAACATAAGGTAAATTTATTCCTTTTTCTATTTATGCCTGAAGAAGATCACGAGACAGGAAGCCCGTGTAGCAGAAATATGAAGAATAAAATATATATACTAAAACAAATCCACATTATAACCAAAAGCGTTTGCGGTTTAACTCTTTTTCAATATATATATAGGCAACTGTGTAGAGATTTTTACATGTTGTCGGTAATATCCTTTATATATATATATATATATATATATATATATATATATATATATATATATATATATATATATAAGTGTAGAAGTTAAATTTCTCAATTACAACCTCTTCCTGTGGAAGGCTGTTTGGTGACTTCGTGGAACACCGTTTCTCCGTTCTCAGTTCTTTTAAAAAAGTGTGTCTGGTTCTACACAACCCTTCACTCTTATAATCAAATAATCTGTGTGAGTAGTCTAACGGTTCATTTTATAACAGATCTGTTAGGCTTTCATCAAAAGCGACGGGAGTTCATCATCATATATAGAACCAGTGTAGTGAAAAGTTCGTTTTATGTCCATAAGAGAAAGAATGACTACGTTGTTTTCTGGCAAGTGAAAGAGAAGAACATCTTTTCGTTTTGCATCCCAAACTGCTATTTTCTGTCGCCGCTAACCATCTTTTTTGCTGAATCCTGTTGTACTAACCCTTATTCTAACTTTTGGTAATTCAAGACCACAAATAACCCCTGGATTAAAACAAATATCTATACTCCTCAAAATTGGGTTTTCCATCAACAGAATCTTAATTTTGATAGTGGTAGGAGCGGTGGCCTCATGACTCCAAATTACGCAGCGGATGAAAGACTGCATGTCTATTACTTGACGTAGTCCCGATAACACTGTGATATGATCATTGCAGTTAAAAGAAGAGAGAGAGAGAGAGAGAGAGAGAGAGAGAGAGAGATTAAAATAATTACGAAAAATATTGGAATAAAGAAATTCACTCTTTCCATTCTCATGAAGTAAGGAAATAGTAAACAGTGTTAGAGGGGAAAAGTGATTGACATTGGGAGAAATTATTAGCGAAACCTCGGGCAACTGATTGTGCTGAATACTTTTTCCGACATTGAATGACAAGTGGTTGTCATAATTTACGCATTGGAGAATCGCGTGCGCGCGCAAACACACACATACGCGCGCGTAAGATACACATTTTCTTACAAAGCGCACTTTCAACTCGAGGGAGTGTTATTGACAGCCAATCATTTCTTAGCCAAGTGTATAATGACATTCGAAGGTACTTCTCTGTCTTACTATTTCAATCGCAGTATATTTAGTCACCAATCTTAGTGTAGTACGGCAAAAGTCAAATTTGGGTACTGAAGGAAGATTGCATTGCGTCAATCTTCCAAATATGGACAGCTTGTTAGCATTGAATGTCAGCATTCGTAATCCTGCAGTACTATGGGTGTAATACGTAGGTACCTCAACAACCAATCATATGTCTCTGTTTGCTTTTAGGTTCTTTTACATCATCGCCAAGTACTGATATGGACAAAAGCCACTTTTCATTATTTAAATCTCCTTTGCATTTTGAAATGTGCGACTATTGTAAAGATTAGCGACTCAGAAAAATAAATTCTCGAGTTCGAATTCCGTTAGGTAGTAACATTATGATTTGTACACGCACATAGAAAGGTGTAAGATTTTATTTCTATCAACAAATGTTTCGTATTTTAGGGCCAGCGGATGAGTTTTTTGAAGTCGAGTGTTCTAAACGGGACCCACTTTAACGAAGCGAAAATAAAAGAACCCGTAATTAATAACTGAGAGGTTTTAAGACCAAGAGACAAGAAACGATATATATATATATATATATATATCAGCAACCAGAAATCATAAATAACAGTCGCAATTGGGATCGGTCGGTTCTGTAGTCAGTCCTTGGAGGGGGAATAGACTCTACACATCGAGTAGTTCCGATACCACTTGTTCGTGATGTTCAGATGGGTAGAGAGTTGGTAGAAGGGAGAGTAGAAGAGAAGAGCTTATCAATATATAGCAAAGGTTTTCTCAATTGTCACTTGTCTGCCAATCCAGACCAAGCAAGAAAAGCCCCGGATAATGTATCTTACGTCTTTGGCCCAAGGCAACAGTCCATATCTGGTGAGCTGTTATGATAAGTTTAAAACCGAAAGACATTTCTTAAGGAACTTATCAAAACAAAACCGGAATAATTCTTCTGTGACTGACTAAACAATTAAAAGATGACGCTAGATCATAGAAATCTATTAATCTACATGAATAAAATACTTCACCAGAACAATGCTGGAAACTTTTGCATAAAAAAAATAAAGGGAGGTTCATGCAAAAGAAATACATTGTATGTGATTAATTACAAGAACCTCTGATTTAGATTATATTACTTTTGTTTGTTTTTTCTTTTAGATTTCTATTCTATCTCTCTATCTCTCTCTCTATGTTTCCATCCTCTACTCTATCCTCCTCTCTCTCTATGTTTCCATCCTCTACCCTATCCTACTCTCTCTTTATGTTGCCATCCTCTACCCTATCCTCTTCTCTCTCTATCTATGTTTCCATCCTCTACCCTATCCTCCTCTCTCTCTCTATGATTCCATCCTCTACCCTATCCTCCTTACCTTTTTTCTTTCCGTTTTTCTCTCCTTTTATATTTATTTTATCTTTCCCTAATTTTTTTATCCTCTTTTTTCATCCCTCTTTATTCTCTGTTTCTGTCCTTCATCCTTCATTTTTTTTCTATTTCCTCGTTCTCTCTTTCTTTCGTTTCTATCCTCTTTTATCTCTTAACATTCTGTCTCTTTCCCTTTTTTTTTCTCCTTTTTTATTTCTATTCTGTCTTTCCGGTGCCCCTTCTCGGTTCTTTCTTTTTTCTCTCTTTTTATTATTTCTATTTTTCTCTCTCTTTCTTTAAAGTTTCTATCCTTTTTTCTATGCCTCACCATTCTGTTTCTTTCTTTTGTTCCCTCTGCTTTTATTTCTATTTTCTCTCTCTCACTTCGTTAAATTTTTATATCTTCTCTCTTATCTCACTTTGTTTCCTTTCTTCTCCCCTTTTATTTGTTTCTATTTTATTTCTCACTCTGTCTCTGTGTACTCTCGTTTAGTGTTTCTATCTTCTCTCTTTTCATTCCATTACTTTCCCTTCTTATTTCGTTTTTTTTTATTTCTATCTATTCTCTCCTTTCCCTTCTTTAATACTTCTATCATTTTCCTTATTGCTCCTCCTCATTCTGTTTCTTTTCTTTTGTTCTCTACTTTTTAAAAAATTTTCTCTTTTAATAATTCTTATCTCTATTTTCCTACTTGTTCTGTTTCTCAGCCTGGCTTTCGTGTTGAATCTTTCTGTTACATACCTCCTGCTTCTTTTACGCCTTCTGCATGTCTCCTACTCATTTAAGTCCACATTTCCTTTGAGTTTCATTATTGCTCCGCCAGAAATGTTGTTGCAATGCTTTTCCTATTATTTCTGTACACAAAACTTAAAGGAACTGATTTTCATTCAACACACCCACTAACAGTAAGACGCTGACAGCAAATCAAGAAAAGAAAACTAAGCAGCAACAAGGGAGAGTGGAAATAAAAGCGACAAAGAGTTTATTGAATGTTATATGTTGGGCACAAATTCCCTGGGCAAAAATTTATATTTTCTATTAATCTCATCTGTTGAATTAAGCTTTTATTTTTTTTTGTTTTGTATTTTACTTGTCGTCTATGTAGAGATTTTATTCTTATTTCTTTTCTCCCATCCGGAAGCCTGAAAGACGTGAGAAGGCAAATATAGAGATAACAGATAATATATTACGGAACAGAGAAGAATTATGAATAGGAAGCTTTGAGAAACACTGGCTTTAAACTGCCATCTCGATCGTAATAGCGACATAAGTAAACAAAAGAAAACAATCGCAAAATCCCACAATGTTTCGACTGTTTTATTTTATTTTTTCAATTTTCCATTTTATTGTATTTGCTTTAACGCTTACAGGTTCTTTGGCGAGTCTGTAAGTGTGTGCGCGACATCATGTAGTCTTTTAAACAAATTATAAAGATAATCTCTTGACACAAACGAAAGTAGATCAATAAGTCCGTATCCCGACACAATTATTAGGGGTGCTAGTTAGATGTTACAAAAATAAAACATCAACTTAAAAACTTGAGTCATGTTCTTAAATAGCCTCGTCAGATCATGTGAATGCAGTGCATAGCACTCATTCCATCCAGAAATGTCTAAACAGTCAATTGTATACAATCGCTTTCTCAGATCAATGATTAATTAGCGAATGAAGACTGTCGGTTTTAAGGATAACCATCTTCTTCGACTGCCGCAAACAGAATCATAAAGTATCAAATAGCAGAAACCCCAAACACTTGAAGACTTTCAACACCGGTAACAACTAAAATGGGTACCTGATGTAATTCGAAGAGAAAATAATAACATAATTAAGATGTTGACATTCTACAGTACTTCAAACAAAAGGTTAGGAAGGGAAATGCCATCAATACTAGAAAGAACGATAAGAGCGACTGGACTTTAGAAACCTATTTTCCTGAAAAATTGTTTTAATAGAAAGATTTTATAAATGTCAACCGGCAGTCGCACTCAATGAATGTCGAATGTTTCCTTGTAAGAAAACAGGTAATATTACCGTGGCCATTAGCAACTGTAGACACTGAACTACACTGCTAGAGAACTGCAATTCCCTAAAGGACGATGTCGATTTTGATCTGACTACCGAAATAATGTCAGGGTGAGATTATATTGAAAAATATGTGTGGTTTTTAAATAATTATCTGACGCTGGTCCTACAACACGACAGAGTAAATCGCTATTAACAACAGAATTAAGGTATTTTTAAAAAGTCTCTCATTTATTTAATAAGAACAAAGCGACCCCGAATGAACCAAAGCTCTTACCAGGATTTATTATTGGCGGGCACAATCTTAAAATTGGAAAAATGTTAAAATCAGGCAAATACATCAGTTTAAATATCTGAAACATTTGACACCGTAATCCAAAGGTATATTGGAATAAAAAAATATCTTCCAAAAACTAAGCAAAGTATTAAGAAAAAGGAAAATGTCGTTAGAAACACAAAATTACTGAAGAGTTATGTAATATCAGATTTCCTATATGCCAGGAAATACCAGATAATTTCCTCCCAGATGAAGAAAAGAAATGAGCCAATAGAAATTTGGTTTTATAGAAGGATGCTGAGAATCCTATGGACTGAACATTTGAATAACAAAGAAGTTTTAAAAAAATGGAAGCAAAACGGAATCTTATAATTAGAATAAGAGAAACAGTTGAAATTTCCATATTAAGGAAAGAGGGAATGGAGAATTTGATACTAACAGGATATATTGAAAGCAGCCACAAGGCTCAGGTCAATCCCAACCCGTGTTATGGATTTCAGGCACTTTCCAAAGCTGCCGTACGATGGAATGGGATCGTTTACCCAATTCGATAACTATAGGCCACAGTGAGATTCGAACTCAGATCTCATAGTCGAAAAGTAAATAAAGCGTATCAATTCCATATTCAGAGAAATTTACCAAGGAGAGAAAGGAGAACTTTAAAAATGGAAATGCAAGGAACTAATAAATAAATAAAAGAATCTAATTTTAATAGAGGACAACTAAATCTCATAAAATAGATTAACTGGAGAGAAATAACAAGTCATTCACAAATGATCAAAAACACTCTGCAACTATATTGGTCTTCATTGAAATGAAATAAACGCTCAACATTCATCCAACTCCTGGGTATGACGATAGACTACATTCGGCAGTAAGTCCTCTGATCGGGATATTGGAAGTTCTGAGGAGCGTGGAACGACCTCTTAATTGCTGTTGTTCCCAGATCCACCCTGACTTGGGACTGCTGGTAACACCTGTCAGGGTTCAAGCTATGGTCAAATAGCGAATCCCAAGCAAAGACAAAACACAATGAAAGTATAAAATTACATTTTTATAGTAAGATTAAAAGTAATACATTATTATATGAAAAATACAAACAATTCACGTTTATAGTAAAATTACCAAAAATACCTATTTAAAAAAAAAAATCGAAGAATTTTTTGACTGTTTAAATACAAATTTTTATTTAGTGAAAAAAAAAATAAATTAAGGCATTAAATAACACAATGGGTTGATATACCGTAAAACAAACAAAACGAATAAACATTCATCAAACTTTCGCTAAAGTCCAACGAGGACAGTCTCTCTTGCACCAACCTGAATATAACATTAAACCGATAATTATTTGGTTTCGTTTGTTTTACGGCTTATCAACCTCAGTAGGTTATTTAATGCCGACAAAATTTTTATTGTTGCTAATTTTTTTTTCAAAAAATGTATTGCTGGTAATATTTTTTTCAAGTATTACTTTTAAATAATGTATTGCTGGTAATAATTTTTTCTTCAAAAAATTATTGCTGGTAATAATTTTTTACAAAGTATTTCTGTTATTAAAACCTATTTTTACACTTTCATAGTGTTTTGACCCCAGTCTGGGGGTTAACTATTTGCCTATAGCCGGGACCCTAACAGGTTCTACCACCCCGAGTCAAGGTGGACCTGGGAACACCAGTAATTAAGAGGTGGTTCCACGCTCCTCAAAACCTCCTGATGAGAGGCCTTGCTGTTGGACGTTGTTTATCGTTTTACCCAGTACGCGGATGTAGTTTATGGTCATACCCAGGATAAGCCGATACTTATAGTATTCTATCAGATGAGACGGAGAATGAAACAAATCCCTGTGGACTTTATTCACGTCGGCCATAACACAAACATGGAGCGATATTTTACATTGTGATAGACAGAAATAACTTCCAAGATGACAAAACAAATTAAACTTCCCGTGAAGCATGCGAACGGACTAGCATTCAACAAGCCTATACGACCGGAAACTGGCAGCAAATGCTAGATGAACAGAAGACTGGTGACAACAGAAATGTATTTCTGCAGAAGGATGCTGCAAATATCATGAATGGAGCGCGTAAAAAGTTACGCAATGTCGAAGTCTTAAGAAAAATGAGGGAAAAAAAGGACACAGCCTCAGAATCAGAAAGTGACAGATAACATTTCTAAAGCACTTAATGAGGAAGGAAGGCTTAGAGAATTTGACATCCACAGGACATATCAAAGGAAAAAGAGATAGGAAATACAGAGAGTCACATACCTTACGAGCGTGTATGAACGGAATTCTGAACGAGGGGAGTGGACATGGGGAACGCCCTTTTCCAAGGTTGCTAAGGCTACAAGGGATAGGGAAATTGTGGAAATCCATTATCGTCCACTACCTGAAGAGATACAGCATAAAGAGGAAAATTTAATGGCGGTACGGACTACTCCATATTACCGCAAAGTACGTACACTAGCGAAATAATCAGTCTCATTTTTTTTCAATCAAGAATGTTTCGAATCACCAGCCAGGTGAGGGATGCCTTTTCATTAATGAGACATTTTAACCCGAGCGTCTAAGGCTATTAGGAGTGATACTTACTCCTGGTCAGTACCTCGATCAAAGAGTCTCATACAACCTCTCTAAAATAAAAATAAATATAAAGTCTTAACCAGAGTGAACATGAAGATATGCATGATGAAAGGAGTACTCGTTTTGGGGCATAGGCGGACTTCTCCCCATTCCAGTGCACGCTCCACAAAACCGGAAAGTTTTTCTTGGCATCTTATTTTCAGTATCTGCTGTTAACTTAATCATGTTCGCACATTAGACTTAGGAAATATAACAGTAATATATGCGAACGTGTCGTGAAGTTTAGCATCCCCAGATCGCCTTCGGAAGAACGGCGGCAACTGATGGTCGTGGAGGTCCTCCAAACCAAATGGGTCTTGTTACCCTTCACACCAAATGGCTGTTCAGGGGCTATCAGACGACCAAAAATAGCCTGTAAGTTAAGACTTTCGCCCAAATCTTTCACTCCGTGTTAAAGGCCGAAAATTATTAATTCACCTCCGCTATGTTTAGTTTTGCGTAACAACTGCACTATACACATGGCGAGGCATTACGGAATATTCCGTTGCTTCATCCAGGTCTTGTAGATCAGTGCTGGCAAGGGAATAAAGATAGGCAACAGCCGTAGACTTCGTACAAAACTCCATCAATTCCCAGAGATTTGTTCGTCCCGATCTTTTTCTGTTGATTCAGTCACTTCAAGACGAAAGAAGTCGGTTAATAGATGTTGAACTGAGACAAGCTCTGGTTCACCTTGCAAAAAAGCTTCTGAAATAGTCATGAAATTCCTC